ACTAATATACAGCAGAGAGAGAGAAAAAAAATTCTATCCGTAACTCTCTCAATTCATACTCTGTCCCGTATGCAATGCAGAATTTGATTCTCCAAGTTCCCTTCTAAGGCGGTGAAGCTTCGAGGTTCTCTTCACTGAGAGCTTTGATAAACGTTGAAGTAGTGATCTTTTCCTCTCCTTTGCCTGCACTGTAACTCCTCGGCTGACGGGAAAATCACCTCATCCACTGCTGCGGGGAGGCAGCGACGTCACGGCTAGAATGAACTCACCAGTTTTTCGGGCTTCGCGGACCGAGGAGCCCTGAAGACCAAGAGAGAATGAGTGAGAAGCAGACGGCCTCAGCTCCTCCCGTCGCGGGACACAGCCCTGTGCTGCGAGCCGCGGTCCACCCGCCAGCTGCCCTCCCGTGGGGACCCTGAGGCGAGCGAGTGGGTGTGTGCATGAGGGGGAGCGGCCAAACTTCCTGTCCCGCGCTCGGGCTGCTTCCGGCGGGAGCCGGAAGACGCTGTTTGTGGACGGAATTCGGGGCCGACTGACGGACGGAAGGCTGCCCGGGACTGGAAGGTGAGCTCCCGGGTGGACCTCGCCACAGCTGCTCAGCTAAGTGGTCCCCAAGAGGGAGGGAGCCAGTACCGGCTCCTCGGGGGCTGGGGCCGAGTTCGCCTCTGAGAGGACAGGGAAACCGCCCCTCTGGGGTACCCTTCCCGGATCTGGCGGGCCTGGGAGCGGCCGGTCTGAAGCCCCACGGCTTTGGCCCTTACCCTCGCGGAGTTTGTGGGGAGATGTTTCGGCTCCTTTGCTTGGTTTTGGGGCAGGGGCATGGGAAAAGACAGTCCTGAGGAAGCTGGAGTCAGCGAGTCCCCAGGGCGGGGGCTCACGGACTGCACCCACAGCGGGGGTCTGCCCTCGGACCTTGGGGCCCAAAATAAGGCCTTTGTGATGGGGGGAAGGGGGTGCCGAGAGAGCCCTGCCCAGAAAGTTTCAGCCTACGGCTACTGTCTCCTTTCATCCGTCCACTTACCTTTTGGGTCTGGAAGAGGGATGGCTGCCGACTCGGAGGGGCTGCCTGGGCTGCGGGTTTGCCCTTCACATGTCAGTTTAGGCAGAGGTGTGGGCTGAGTGTTTACAGCTTGTACGCATTTTGCCGGTTGAGTTTATCTTTTGAAGTTTCTCGAGATAAGAGAATCCAATTAGTTTATTAAAGTTTTTCTCCATTGCTCATGGTGTCTGAAATGCATTAGGCACCATTTGGAAGTTAAATATTATTAACTTGGGACTTAAAAATTCATACTTACACCTCACTTTGGCACAAGGGTCAATGCAGCATATTTGCAAAGAGAGTAAAAGAAACATTTTGAAATAAAGTCAGGTGCATTTTGTCAGGGAGTGAGAAATTCCACTTTATCCTGTCTTAGTATGGGGCAGAGTAAAGGACAACTAAACGAGCAGTCAGAAGGTTTAGGTTCTAGTTTTTCAAGTTTTGCCTCTAAGTAGATGTCTAATTTTTAGCAAGTTACTTTACCTCTGCTTTGTACTTTTTTTTTTTTTTTCTCTCTGTAAACCCTTAGGGATTTCTCTGTTTACCCTTAGGGATTTGACTATCATTCTGAGGCACCGAACTTGAGTAGGGGAAGTGACATAAGCATTTCTGTGTTTTGGCTGCGCAGGATGGGTTGAAAAGGGGAATTTTAAAGGCAGTTAGAAGCATATTATATATTTTTTGTTGTTTTTAGGAGGTTTTTTGTTTTTAATATTTTATTCTTTTTGAATTTTTTTCTTTCCTTTTTTCTCCCCCATTTTCGTTGTCTTTTTTTTTT